CACTTTGTGAATCTCTAATTAATAGGAGTATCATGAGAGAGGATCTCAGGCATGAAATGGTTGTTGGTACAAACCTATGGTATAATTCGATAATAATCTCAGAGAAAGATAATCCACTGAGAAAAGGACAGGATCAGAGTTGGAATTTAGGACAACATGGTTTTGATTCCCCCTAGCCAGCCAACTAGATGTGCCCATCTATGCCTTAAATGGGATGGAGAGCTAGGTACCAAGTGATGGGGTCTAGGTGCCGATATATACTGCACCAGCTTGGTGTTTTGATTTTATTTTCATTTTCTAAAGTTGGACTTAGAGGTATTTTATTGGTTAGTTTGATTAGGTGATTGTTTCGAGGCGTGGAATTTAAACTAAGTGTCCAATGAAATGATATCTGATCTTAGTAATTAAAATGGAAATAAATCTAGACCGAAGTAGTGAGTGATTAGAGCTGAGTATATACACAAAAGTCTCGGTCTAAAATGCCCTAATCTTTTGCTCATTACCAAAGGCTGAAGCTAAACTTATTTAACACTTTGCATTTTAACGTATTAACGTATTGTCTTATTAACGTAAACGTTATGGTATCGTATAGTCCGCCTAGAGGAGACCGATTTTCACATATTTTTAAGTTTGAATACGCTATCGATATTATGACGAAAAATAAATAAATAAGGCAGCGAATGTAGCCAAGGCTGCAAACGCGAAAGGGTTTACTGTAGGCGAAGAGAAGCAGAAAACACCCCCGGCACCATCAGGAGAAGCTGAAGCAACTGAAATCACGCCGGTACAACCGGCACCAACTCTGACTAAATGGAAACGTAAGAAGTTGGTTGTTACGGGTGTAGGTGCATCCAGAGGTAATGTGACTGCGGAGCCACAGAAGCCAACAGCGAAGAAGGCGAAATCTCGAAAGGGAAAAGCCGAGAAAACACAATCCTCGGAAAATTCAACTTCAGAGGAAGTACGACATGCACTGGAATCAGATATATCGTCCCCACCAGTGGACACGTGCACAGCACGCAGGAAAGATCCAACTTATCATATGATAGCAAGGGATAGGAGAACCTTCCTGAAGAACTACCAACCAATGGTACACGAATTGTGACCTAATAAGCAGTGGAAGAAAAAGCAAGCCGCAGCGAAGGATCAAGGTCATGGTGAATCAGGGGAGGATGACTCGGAGAATGTGCCAATAGCACAAACACTGTTGGATCAACCCCAAATCAACGTAGCGGAGGAACAACTGCGTTTCGTGGATATAGGTCCGGATGATGTGGACCATACATTTCACCATCAGGACGACGTTTCGGACACCAGGTTGGATTCACAATTCCTGCGCTTACCCAAAACACCACTCCGACCGGCTTGGCGACAGAACTTTGATCTGGGCCATCCATACCAGACTCAGATTGATATCCAGGAGGAGGGTCAACGAGAGTTAATCCATCAGCGGGCCAACCGGGCATGGGTGTTTCGAAACACGAATGGAACGTACTTTCCGGATGTATTGAAGACTACCCGGATGGTACAATCTCACCGAGGTATGTAATGAATGCAGCGGTATGAAATTTTGGGCTCGATTTGTTTAGAGATTCTAATACTACAATCGGCTAGTAGCAACGAAAACTGACGAAGGTAAGCAGGCACGCAAACTTTTCCGTCGGTTTCAAAAGATACTACCGAAGGTATTCGGAACTAGAAGAGATGGAAGTTTTGCACATTTAATTTGGTACGAAATTCGGGATCTTCTTGGAGACATTCCCGACTTGATATCAAACCATTTGGCACTCTATCAAGCCATATTGTCGTTTGAGATATTGTCAGACAATGGAGAGGCAAACATAATCTGATCTTCATCATCCTAAGCTCAATATTCTCCTGGATTGGACGCAACAGCAATGTCGCGAATGGCATCTGAACAGGAGCCTAAACCAAATCTACCACCGAAAGGAAATCCACTGAATGCCCCAGAGGTATTTCCGAAGCACAAACCGACCGAAGAGCCTAAACCTGATCAAGTGGAAGCTAGAAAATCTTTGTCGTCATCGGGAGACAGTTCGCCCCCAGCGGCTATCCCAACGACGACAAAAGATGCTGTCCCATCAGCAGCGTTCACTCACATTGAACAGGTCGATGGATCAAAGGATGAGGCAGACAACTGACTGCATGGTCAGATGCAGTTAGAAATGTTAGCGTGCGATGTGGGGGATTAATAGTAAAGTGCTAGTGTATTTTAAGTATGGTGCATTCGAATGAATTTATTTATGATCTCACCCTCAGTTATATACTTATGGGGTTTGTACTAGTGTTCAACCACTTGGGTTGGCCAGGGTAAAAACTCATATGATCAGTATGAGAAGCCTTATGCAGAACACTTTAGCACTCGGATATATTTTCTAGAAATAAATATATCATATTCTCTGTTACTACACTCAGTCTCGGACCTCGGCTCTCGGCTAGCCGGCGGCCCGTATTCTATAAATAGAATAATCTAAGAAGAATTCTCAAATTATTCTTACGTTCTCTCGGGCTGACCCACCTATACTTATATTAATTTGAGAACAAGTCCCAAATTACTTTCGGGCTGACGACGTAAAACGTTATTAACGTATATAGAAATACGTCTACTACTGTAGTCTCTCAAGAAAAGAAGGGATCAGATCACTCTAGCAGTGATCTGAAAATTGCTGAATTCGCTGTTCAAATGAACAAGGCTGAGGCTGCTTCACTCGAGGCGATGTATCTAGGTAGGATTGATACCGCTAGTCTTTATATGACAATGGCTACGCACTTCCAGACTTAAATTGATTCAAAACTAAGAGTGATTCAGACCGAGAAGGCTGTGGAAGGCAAGAAGTTTGTAAAGGATATAGGTAAACAACCAACGACATACATATCTGATCGAAAGGACCGGAAGGATCCAATCGATACTAGCAGTCTGACGTTGTTATCTAGATCTTTGGAAGATTTTGGATAGATTATGCTTACAGCCAATCTACGGAAGAACCTATGGTTCGAAGCAGCGCAGCAGAGCTTTAAGCCGTCCTCTTACAGGTACAACAAGTTAGAGAAGGCGAAACAAGCGATCACTAAGCTGAAAACGTGGGAAGAGCAGAGTGAGATGATCGTCCACTTATTTTCGACGGACCCTCGACCGGAATTGCTTGTATCGATCATGATACCACCGGAAGAAGGAACGCCGGTGTCCCACTACTTATTAGAGTAGGACACACTCATGTCACGGGCACAAACTCAAGAGATGTCACCTGACAAACTATTCATGTGTGTACTATGAGTGCAAACAATCTTTTGGTTAAACCTACATAGGAGAGATAAAGAGATTCTGTACGCTGATATGCATCAATTTTACCCGGACAAGGTACGAGAGATCTCCATTGAAGGACTGTACCGGGACTGGAGGTTAACACAAGCATACATGCAAGGTGCAACCAAAGGTTGAAGTTAAGTGACAAGCATACCGGGTCTTGTTACTAAGAAAAAAGGACGCACCTCAAGACGAGCGTGTAATCCCAGACATACGAGATAACGGACATGAAATAAAAGCGTTGTGCGTTGTTGAATTAAACGTCTTGGTATCGTATAGTCAGCCTAGAGGATACCGACCTTTACATTTGTTATTATCGACGATGAGCGGATGTAAGGCATAGCTAGCATTGACCTTCCAGCTGACAAGGATCAGTTGATTACATTTGTGTGCATGATGGCGTGGTAGTCATGTAGTATCCCCAGGTTGAACACATTTTTGGTGCCGTTGACTAATCAAACTCGCAAGGGATCCAGGATTGACATGAATTTGGAATATCAGATTGCGTATTATCGATGTATGTGGCTTCTCACGAATGGGATTTGTCTTTATTCGCTGGAGCAGCATGAAAAATTGCATGCTTATCCGGACGCATGTGATGTAGCCATTGGAGGAGCGGTCATGGTCTGCCGAGCGCTTAAGGAGATTTTGCGGATGGAAGAGACGATTGCAGGGTGGAAAGCTGAGGTCGATCGTCAGTGGTTGGCTAAGAAGATGCCTACAGCGGAATTGCGTGCGGCGTTGCATGGTTCGGCAGTAGCCCAGAATAATTTGGTGGCGTATTTAGAAGAGAAGGGTGTTCCGTTGACTGAACCCTTACTTCGGTGAAAGACTAAGTCTATACGAGTGACGAAGGGCCAAGAGCTTTCTTTGGAGCTTGTGGATGAACATTTGGCTATGGATTCTATTATTTAGGATAAAAGCCATGGCATAATGAATTATCTCTTCTGCTTTGGGTTTTATTCTTCGAAGTTACCCCCTTCCATGAATAACTACCATGTGTTGAATTTGGAGTTGTCGGCGACAGAATTTGTGCTTCATAAGATTGCTCTTATGGCGATGCGTTCTTGGTTGTCACTGCCAACCCATAGTGATCACTAACCCTTGGAGACATTGTTAAATGGTAAACCATTGCCTCCCGACACAACGAACATTATGAAGCGTCGAGCTTGGCGGGCGTTGGAGATCATGGGTTGTGTTGGCGCAAATATTGCCTACATTTTGGAGCCGTTCAATGTGTTGGGGGTTGTCCTTCACACCTACATGTGTAAGATTCGGTCTATTAAGGCGATATTAACGCCTTAGAAGGAACTATATTTACTTTCCAACTTTATTTATATCTGAATACTTCGGTAGCGAGATGGCTCAACCGAATATAGGTTTCTAAGGACTATTAACGTTACCTAGTTGATCCTCCGATCAGCCAACCAGATGTGCCAGTCTGATGAAGGCTAAGTCGGTAATTCTTGATAAGTGGTAAGTTATTGGTTAAGACAAGAACTAAGGACATGAAGAGTATTTTTATTTTTTTATTTCTTTTTGTCTAAAGATAGAATTTTATGAGTCTCTCAGATTCGCCCCAATGAAACACACCGTAGTTTCTAATAGAGCGACAACGAAACACTAAATAAAATCCCTTCGGCGGAAACAGTACCGAGAGGATTATATATTGGCAATGTCTCAGCCGCACAATCCCTCAGGGTATTGCTGTTTTCATGAGGCATACCCAACTTTACTAAAAGTCTCATTTTGTTTATATACTTTGGTATTTACACGATACTTAGAATTTATCTTACGCGTTTATTTATTCTAAGTCATTAGTATCACCTTAATAGACCGAATCTTACAACAGCGAGTGTCGTTCGCCTGGCCGTCGGAGTTGCCGGACCCAGACAATACCTTGCCGATGCCTGCGGATTGTGATGACAACAGCGATAATGAGCAGAGATTTACGTTGCCTGTTGCCGGTTGTGTGCCAGCCTCATCGGAGAAGCGTACTCAGCGCTTGCACCCTGCCTGGGTTCGACGGGTGATGGAGAAGTGGCATGGGGTTGCTATTGACCTGTTCGCTAACCGACGGAATGCGCAAATACCCTACTATGCTTCTGACGATCCATGTGGCGGTACTTGGGGCGGTGATGCATTTACTATTCCTCTTGATGAGGATTTCGGATGGGCGTGTCCGCCGCGCGTTTCGGGTTTTTGGTTTCTACACTATCTTCAGTCCTGTGATAAAGCTTCTGCGGCTATGGTCGTACCTGTTTGGTCTGGCGCTACGTGGTTTCCGCTGTTTTTGTCGGATGTTGGTGGATGTGCCTCTAGTAGTACTGCCTATTGAGGAGGTGATAATGGCAAGCCCTTGCCGTCACCGTCTTGGTGTTTGTCTATTGGGTTGCTGTGTCGCAGTCGTGACAAGAGCACAAGCGCGGGATCAACAAGCGAAGTCTTTTGATGAACCGTTGTGGTCAAAACCAAGTAACACTTATAGCAGCGTGGAGTCAATACCTACTGGTCTCGCTGGATTGATCTTGCTCACATGATGAGGTTCTGGTCGCGCGTCATATAGGCAAACGATTTGTGCCCTGGTGGCGTAGTGCTATCAACAAGGATACCGCTTTACATTAGACAGTAGTTTCCGCCGTAAGATGTTGGATGAGTGGCGAGCCAAGCAGGATTCCCGAATTCGCGGAGGCCAGCCGGAGTCTATGTCTTCGTTCTAACACTCAGTATTCCACACATCGTATTTATCATATCTTTATTGATATTATATTTTATACAGTATACAATGAACATAGTACCATGTTGCTTGTTTTACATCCATACAGCGAAACGATTCGCTTTCGGATGGTTCTTATATGTGCCTTGGGCAACGCTGCAGCCAGAGTCTGCTCGTTCCTGGGGAAATGTAATAACCGCAAGGGTATAGCTCGGTACTAGACTTAGGTACCGAACTACAGGGGTCTACCACTTGGAGGATGGAGAAGGAGCTGTCATAGTGATTAGTGAACTGATATAATCATACTGATGGAGCTGATATAACAGGAGAGAGGAGCTTGTAGACGCCAGGGCTTAGCTATGCTGTACAGAGGATTGGAGGACTACTGTAGAGGACAGAGGAGTTACCTAGTATGGAAGGTGTCGTGGACGATGGACCAGCATAGTGAGGATGAAGGAAGATATAATATGACCTGGGTTCTGGTAGTTATGTGGTTGACTGAGAGAATATGCTTATAGGTTGTACAGTAGGGATATCCGAGCATTTGTGCTGGAAGAGCTCGGAGGAATGTCTAATAAACTGTTTGAAACCTTATTGTGTTGATATGTAGCTACAAGAGGGCTATTTAAAAAAAAAGCTATTTTATGAGTCTATCGCGGCTCGCTCCAACCAGAACTAAAAGCGGCATATTGTACTAAAATCGGTTTGAAGGCACTGCTTGGAGGTTTTTTGACCGAGGTAAAATGCAAGGCCGAGTCTGCCACATTATTCAATACTACATATTGTCGTATTTATGTATTTTTTTGCAACGTCGGGGTAGGCATCTAAATGAGATAACTTATTAACTTTGATCGATATGTTTTCGTCACTGAAAATACCTGACTTGCAACAGCGATGTCGGGAGTTGGGTTTACCGGTGGGTGGGACTAAAGGTGAATTGATCACACGATTAACAGATTTTCGCCAGTCAAACGGTGTAAGGACCGCAGCCCCAAATACCATCTCATCCAAGGTGAGAAGGGCGAATGTTCAATACTCGGCTTTGTATGCATATGAGTAAGATCGGTTCTGATAGATGAATCAGTGTATAGTAGTTTTTTTAACTTGCGGTTATAACACACAAACACACACACACACACGTGCACACACACACGTGCACACACACACACACGTGCACACACACACACACACACGTGCACACACACACACACACACGTACAAACACACACGCACATCACACAGAGGCATATATATAT